CACACACACACACACACCCCACAGAAGAGGAGGAGTTAGAACTGGGCCCTGAAGTCCCTCCTGGATTCAACTCTTTACACTCCCTCTCAGGACTTGTAGATGTCAGCATCCACATCTGTCGGATCACGTCATAATAGTCCCTACCTCAAATCTTCCACAAGTTGGGTGGCCACGGCACCTGCACCAAGGGCTTCAACCATGACAATGATGCGGGTGGCACAGGACGGACGGACCTGCTTTGTTCTGTTGTACACAAAGTCACCACGAATTGGAGCCAACCCGATGGCACCGAACCACCACCTTCACCACCACCTCATGAGAGTGGGCCATCCCTACCACAGCTGCTAGCATTCAGCACCCCACGACGGCGGGGTCATCGCCCGGAACACGGCCAGATGCCCACGTGTGACGGTGGGGTCATCACCCAGAGCACAGCCAGATGCCCATGTGTCACCAGGAGATGACAGGCCGCCAGAGAGAAAACCGGGGTGGCGAGGAGACGACAAGTTGCAGGTGGAATAATGCCAGGATGGCCCGTCCATCGGAGAACAGGACAAGGAGAGTAGCCCGGTTGTGAAGAACAGTGTCCAGAGCCTCCTCTCATGCCCGGGCTCCAATCCCCTCTCTTGCACTTAGTAGTTCCTTCTGCTGTTCTGGGATGAGTCGGCAAACTTTGGGTCATGATCATACCTTTTACCCTGAAGTGTTGTAAAACCTAAAGGAGCAAAGCAGTGTGAAGTGATCACACCAGTTGCCCTCGAGTCACCTCTGACCCCTTTGGTGACGTCCACTGTATTTTCACAAGTTAGCCTTTTTTCTATCGGACCTTCCATGGCTGATTCGTCGGAGGTCGATCACCTGACCTTGGTTCTGAGGCCCCTGGATGGACTCGAACCTCTGCCCTTTCAGCTAGCAGCCAACCGCTCAGGGACTCCAGGCGCCTTTGGGAGTGACCATGACTGGTGATCGACACGCCGATTGCTCAGGCAGGACCCCAGTCTGGAGGGGAGCCTTCTCCACGCCGTTCACCTCGGAGTAGTGGCACAGGTTTCAGGACTGACACCCTCAATTTCTCGCTCCAGGCACATCGCAATTCTACAAGGACTTCATTTTCCCGCCACCAGAGTTCAGCCATTTAAAGGTGAACCGAAAGGTTAGGCTGAGTTGGGTGGTGGGTGGTTTTGTCCAGTCCAAGCACGCATGTTTTCCGCCCAAGCCCTGGCTGGCCAGAGCCAAAACAAGCACCCGCCAAGGACTTCACAGCGCGTTCTTGATAAACACCACTGATAGGGGTGGAAATACTTTGGAGCAGTTGGCTTCTGCCTTTGTAAACTAGCTCGTTCTGGAGCCCACTTCCTGGCAAATAGAGCTGGCACCACCCCGGGTTTGGCCGGGCATCAGCCAAGTGTCGTCCCCAGAAGGGCCTTTGTTTACACCACAGCCCCTCCAAACAGCAAGGCATTCCACGGAGCTCTCCCCAAGGCCACGATGATTTGTTGGATGCGAGTTCCAAATGTAGACTCTCCGTGGCAAAT